AGGAGCCAGATAATGCTGCCATTCATGTACTCCCCGGCTTCCCCCTGCCTTTAGTCCAGTGTGTATACCGACCTGATTGTTCTGTGGCAGATGGGAGAAGCCCATCTGTTAACCAAATCCGTCCGACTTGGAGGGCGCAAGTGAATAAATACTGTATCGATATACATGTTCTGGTTTCTTGATGTGTCATTGGTTTCTTGGCAAGCACTTGGGCTCCAAAACTTTCTTGACCCTGTTAGTCAATGGATGCCTCGTTGGTGACTATACCATTTCACCGTATAGCACCAGACAGTTGCATAGCATTGTAAAATGGACTGAGTGCACCTTTTAGATTATAAAAAATCCAAGTCATACAGCTTCTCTTAAACCTTCACTTCATCCTCTTCTGTTTCCATGAGATGGCAGTTAAAATGGTGTTACCCAGCCCATAGTTTGATGCCATGCAGTCTCTTTAATAGGCCTTATCCTCAGCAAGCATGCATAAAATTGCAGCCCTAGGAATACTTTGTTACTTGCCCATTTGCAGAAGTAAGGCTTATCTTTACTGTGTAATGTTTCTAAGTCTGCAGTGGCTCTGTTCCACACAGTAGCAGCTTTGTGAAACTGGCTGCAGAAGAGCAAATGAAAGATCTGTTTGGACCAAGATGTGTGTCCTGCAGCAATGCCTCTGGGAAGCTCAGATGCAGGATGTGACAATGATACCATCCCACATCTTGCCTCTTCTAGTACTTGATCTTTCAGATATAGACCAGCTTGGAACTTTATGGTATTTCCAGCTATCCTTTTGTTAACCACTTGAAGACACAACTTCATGGAGGAGGGGATGAATAATTGTTTCTTTTTTAAAAAATCTAAATGAATGTCCACCACCAAAGGATATGGTGACAAAATCCTTACAGTAAATTCACACTATATAAAGAAGTTCTTCTCTTGGTTGTGAAGTTGCTGCCACCCAGCTTTCAGTGGCATCAGATTTAAGCCAGTGATCCTACAGTCCCTGGGAGGGCAACCAGGGGACTATAGGATCCTGCAGATCTGTTTTAGATCTGATTGTTTCTCACGAAATCACCCTACCTTCCTTGGATTGTTCTGCCTATCATATATGAGAAGTAAAATTTTCCTTGTTTAACAATTTTTAATTTGGAAAGACCAGTATCCCACCAGTTGAATTGGGGCGGGGGGGGGGGGAATTCCAGTTTTTGCATGCATGGTTTTTCTTCTTCCCCTCCCTTGAAGGGAATGTTGCTCCCACTGGTTGTTTTTAGCTGCCCTTTTCTGTACGTTTTCCAGATTTATGATCAGCAAAGGCTGTAAGCCTCATGCATCTGACACATTCATGACCCCAAATGTAGCTGCCACTGTCAGAGCAAATGGCTGGAAACTATTTTGGAGGTTCAAAGGAGCCTCAGACCTGCATTGGTTGGTTAGTGTTGCTGCTTAATACAGGGCTCACAGCTGGTCCTGGCAATCTGCTCTTGACGTTGCTAAGAAACCAGTTGCGCTGGCTGTTTGTTACAGTTGTTCCTGTGTTTTGGAAACCTGTTGTTGATGCCAGACTGGTTTCTGAAAAAAAAACAACCAACAGCCAAGTGAGGGGTGTGAAATGATCCAGGGAATGCCAACAAGTCAGTATCTGAACCTAGCAAACATCAGGTCTTATGTCTCTGTGAGAAAGGGAGAGGGGGAACTGAGATGCAGTTCGTGCCAGTGAATTACTAGTGGACATTGATTTGATTTAGAATGCGCATCCCAAACTAAAGGAGAGAGTACAGTCGCCCCTCCATTTTTGTGAGGGGTCCATTCTGGACCACCACCCCACCACCACCACCCCCCCGAGAAAACTGAAAACTGCAAATATTCAAGCCTCATAGGCTTGAATGGGGGCATCCCCCATGGGCACTTGTGGGTGCGCCCCCTATTTTGTCCCCCTTTATTTGCCGCCCGTGAACAGGTAAGGGATGCAGACTTCAAGTCTGCAAAAACAGAGGGGCAACTGTATTCAGAACTTGGAAAAGTGGCTTTTTAAGAATACAACTCTTAGAATTTCCCAGCCACCATGGTTTTGGAAGTTGCTGTCCAAACATAGCATTTCAAATATCTGAGAGTGTTCCCCAAGCAGAGAAGCTGAAGCTGTTGCAGATGCCTCTGGTCCCAACTCTTAATTGAAATACAGATACTATAACGTTGTAGGGTCCCCTTGACTTTCCAGACCAGCTTAGCATCTCTCTGCTAGCTTTATACAAAACATCATTAGTTGAAGGGTAGCTGTATGTGCGCAGCCATTTCTCTTTGGTTTCTGCTGTTTGGAGTAGCAAGAGATTAGGGGGATGGACAGTCTTGGTGGCCTCTGTGTATACTTTTTCATTTTGATCTTTTTCAGAAAAAGGAGGGAGATGCAGAAAGGGGGATCTTTACTGCAGTACATTTTTCTTCCTTGGGAAGGCAATTGTTGTGATGTTGTTTGCTGTTTGTTGTTATTGTTGGGTGCCTTCAAGTAATTTCTCACTTATGGCGACCCTATCATTGGGTTTTCATGGCAAGATTTATTCAGAGGAGGTTTGTCATTGCCTTCTCCTGAGGCTGAGAGAATGTGACTTGCCTAAGGACACCCACTGAGTTTCATAGCTGAATGGGGAACTGAACCCAGGTCTCCAGAGGCACAGTCCCAACACTCAAACTACTACACCTTGCTGGCTGTGCTTCCCTCATTTAAGAAAACTGAATTGTATAGATTATATCCTTTGAATTGACCTGAATGTATTGTCACTGTCTTCCTTAACTTCCTTGCAAAGGAAGTCACAGAAACTTGATTATCACAGATGTTTGCAGATGTAAAATTTCCAAAATGTTTGGAACCATCTCCATTCCCTGGAGGAAAAAATTAAATTCTGGAAAAGTATTCAGTATTTTTTTCAATGTATCTTAACAGATGTAAAATCACTTCATTATTTCAGGAAGACTAAATCTTATTATGTGTCATTTGATTCCTTCACAATTATTGCATTTAGCATACATTAAATTTAAAACCCTAATTTATTTTAAAAAAAATTTGCAACTTTTCTAACTGAACTTACTTTAAATGTTTTGAATTTTTGTTACAAATGGAATACAAACTGCTGAATTCAAAAGGAATCTAACATCTTCGTTTTGACAGTTTATGAGAATCAGAGAAAAGTTTACAGTTGAAAACAGAAGTAACCATGAACATTAGAGTAAGACAAAATAGTTTTCTGTTTTGCCACAGTGGCAAGTAGACCCAGAAAACATTCATTTTCAGGCTGGGAAAAATTGAATACGATGATCCCTATAGGAAACTTCATCTAACTGGTCTCATGTTTTCAGCTGCCACTACTAGAAATTTCTACTTGTGATAATTTATTTGTATCATCTTCGTGGACAGTTGAAGATTGGCTCAGATTGATCCCTCCTTTGCATATCAGTTTATTTCTTAATTTGTTGTGGTTTCTAAACACAGACCAGTGTCTTTTTTATGCTGCAGAAGCTGAAAGAATGTAAATCAGACAAGCACAAGGAGTCAGAGGTTGCAGTGTGCAAAGCCTTTGCAGGAGGGATATGCTTGGCAGAACCCCAGAGTGCATCTACATTGTAGAAATAATGCAGTTTGATACCACTTTAACTGCCATGGCTCCATCCTACAGAATCCTGGAATTTATTGGTTTGTGAGGCACTACTACTCTAGCAGAGAAGGCTGTATACCTTGTAAAACTGTAAATCCCAGGATTCCATAGGATTGGAGATATAGCACTTAAAGTGGTCAAACTGTATTATTTCTACAGTGTAGATGCACCCCCAGACTGCATCCCTGGGCCTTTTTCTTGCCAATATTCAAGTCCCATAGGCTTGAATGGAGCACTATGATTCCACTTTAACTGCCATAGCAATATCCTATGGAATCTTGGGATTTATAGTTTATGGAGGGGGCAATAGGCTCCTCTGCCAGGGGTTTCCTCTGATGTTTCTGACCAAACTACAAATCTCAGGATTCCTTAGGATTTAGCCATGGCAGTTAAAGTGGAATCAAAGTGCTATACAGTCACTCCTCCGTTCTCACGGACTTGAGGTCCACAGTTTTGAATATTCACGGAGGGGTGACTTCCATTAAAATCAATGGGGCGTGCCCCATTCAAGCCTATGGGACTTGAATATTGGCAAGTTTCCATTTTCACGTGTGTGTGTGTGTGTGTGTGTGTGTGTGTGTGTGGAATGGATCCCCCACGAAAATGGAGAGTCAACTAATTTGCTGAATTTGTGAAAGGGCCCTTGGACCCAACACCTGAAGTTCTGCATTCAGCAACATTTTTAAAAGTTACTTTCTAACATCAAATTATGAAATCACCCATCTTAACTTAAAGCATAGTCATAATTCTAAAATAAACACTTTTATAGTCCAAAAATCTTGGAAAAAGTAAAAGTCTTTCCAGGGTGGGGATGGAAACCATCTTCTAATTTTTTCCAAACCTTCCTATTGTCTAGCAATGTTATACAGTTGCTATCATCTACAGTTTGGAACGATTCTACTGTTGGAACATGGAACATAGACTTTTGGATTATGGCCTGTTTCTGAAAAGATATAGTGGCTACATGGGGGAAATTTTGATTTTAATGTGCAGAACTCCTCAGTGTAACATACAAAGAGTTTATTTCTCTTTTCCTGTAGGCAGCTTTCAGGCCTGGGTGGTTGCACACAAAGACTTGATCCTTTTGGCCTCTAGGAATTAGGTTGTCCTTTCTGCTGGACTCCATAAATAACAAGCTGAGCACTTGTCCTTTTGCCAATGGTAGCATCATGCTTTGATTCACTAATCAGGCACTGAAGTTGCTATGTTACATTTAACACACTTGCTGTTGTGTCGTTTCCTACCCCCGTGGCAACCCTGGGTTGTTTTTTTCTTGACAAGATTCGTTCAGAGGAGGTTTGCCATTGCCTTCCCCCAAGGCTGAGAACATGTGACTTGCCCAAGGTCACCCAGTGGGTTTCATGGCTGAGCTGGGAATTGAACCCTAGTCTTCAGAGTCATAGTCCAACAATTAAACCCCTATGCCATGCTGGCTCTCCTTAACACATTTAGGTTTTCCTTTTTTCCCCTCTCTTCAGTAATGTAAGTACTATGGTGTTTAAGACTCTTACACTACCACATGTAATGTAAGCAGCTCTGTATCCCAAACTCCACTTGGAGTGCTGCTAATGTACTGGTGGTGGAAAGGATATATTTTGCAATGTAGGATTTCAGGAGACAGGAATTTTCAGGTCATCTTCCACCACTATTAAGGAGACAATGATTCTGAAAAGAAGAACACATTGTGGTGTGGCTCCTGAATCCACATTTTCCATTCATTCATGTCTATCTTTGGAGAGATGGCTGGAAACAAAGAAAGGCT